CTAACTGTACCTCTGGTTCTACTAGCAAGTCTTAAAAGTAATACCTGAAAGGATCAAATTGTTTTAAAGTAGTTTAAATGTGTTCTGGAACAAAGCTCAAGAATATTCATAAGAATATAAAAAGATTTATAATATGAAAAGAATATAAAAAGATTCAGCACCCAACAAGATCAAATTCAGTGTGTGCCATCCAATAAAAGATTAACACACATGAAAAAGAAAAATACAACCCATAATGAGGAGAAAAAGCAATCAACTGAATTGACACAGAGTTGGAATTAGCAAAAAAGGGCATTGAAATAGTTAACTATATTTCATACATTCAGAGAGTTTAGTAAAGAATGGGAGATGTCAAAAAGGTGCAAAATGACCTTCCAGAGATGAAACTACAAATACACTGGATGGGATTAACAGCAGATTAGATGCTGATGAAGAAAAATATTAGTGAACTCGGAGATACAGCAACATAAACTGTGCAAAATGACAGGGAGAAAAGAGAATAAATAAAAGAGAATAGCATTAGTGAGTTGTAGGCTACCCTCCAGTAGTCTACAAACATGGAACTGAAGAACCCAAAGGAGAGTAGAAAGGGAGAGACAGAAAAATATATTTGAAAAAATAATGGCTAGAATTTTTCCAAATTTGATGAAAACTATTAACCAACAGATCTAAGAAATTCTACAAATCCCAAGCACACAAAGGGTTTAGAGAAAACTATGCTAGGTATATCTTGATTAAGTTGATTAAAACCAGTGATAAGGAAAACAACCAGAAGGAAAAAGACATGTTAGATAGAGACAAAGATACAGATGACAGAGATTTCTCATTGGAAACAATGAAAGTAAGACAAAAGTGGACCAAACTCATCTAAAATTCTATCCCCAGCAGAAAGATCTTTCAATAAAGAAGGCAAAATAAAGACTTTTCAGTAATACAAAAGCTGAAATACCTATATCTATATCTAGATATAAATGCTGATATGTAATACATATAATCTTATATTATATATAATATAAGCCCTAAATAACCATGAAAATTACAAAACAAAGAATTATAGAAAATAAGACAGTACATGAGAGAAATGGAATCAGTTAAGCCTATAGACAGGAGAAAAAGAGGAAAAAGAAAAAGGGAATCAAGAACATATTCAACAATAGAAAACATTATGCACATTGAACTATCTCTCAACCACTATTCAAAGTGACTGGTGGATTTTTAAATTTTTAGTAGTATTAATTTTTGCAAATAACTATAGGAGATGAAAATACAACATGGGGCTAGGAGTTCCAAAGAAGCCATATTTATGGTTGAAAGCAAGCATTCTAGTTACACAGTCCAGGTCAGTTGAGCTTTATCTCTTTTCAGTGACATTATAAAATGTCATTTTTGGTATAAAATCAGCTTTAATAGTCCTTAAACCTCCCAAATTTATCATTTGCTATACTTGACTGTTCAGTCATTTTATTTATTCTTCTATGAGATTAAGCTCTCTTGATGATAACATGCCTTCTGTATTCATTTACTTTTACAAACTCCAAATAAAAATTTGTTGAAAAGTGTAATTTTAACTTCCTCCTTTCTGCAGTGCATAAATCATACCAGAACCTAAAAGACATGCCAATTTGAGAAACAAAGGTTCTTTTGTGTTTGGGTCTACATTCCCAGCATGATCTAATGCTAATACCTGTTTGCATTTATATTCCTGGCTCTTGATGTTTGCGGGGGAGATTTTCATAGAACAAAAAGGAAGGAAGCCTTTGTTTCACCTTGACTTTCAGAAAGTAAAACAAAAAACAAAAAACAAAAAACAAAAAACGGGAAAAACCTGACTTTCTCACCAAACTGTAAGTTCCTCTGAAATTTACACTTTGTGCAAGGTGAAAAAAACCCCTGAGATTTCAGCTACATTTGACACTTTCCTGTTTCCTCAGCAATGATGTTCCAAAATCAGTAACCTAAGTCTGCTGGGAAGGGGTCTCAGGTGTTTGTCTTAGAATCATAAGAAATTGTTACATTCTCTTGTTTTCCTGGTGACAAGAAACAGAATTGCCCCCCTAGGTGTCCGCAGGCTCCTCCCTCCTTCTCTAGCTGGATTCCTGAGCCCTGTTTGTATATTATGGGTAAGGAGGAGATTGGGTGTTCTAACACTGAAAATGACGAGACCTTTTTCTCCTGAATGAGAAATATCTCTCAACTATCAGAAAAGTAATATATGTTGATTTGATCACCTGGACCTGGCAGGTGAATGAGTTGAGAGAAAAAGGCAAAGGTCAGCATGGGGTAGTTTGGAAAGATTTAGGGGCTTTTTAAAGCAAAGAAAGAGAGAGTTGTTGGAGCAGCTGCCGAGCTTGAGAGAAACAAAGATATGAAGAAGCATGTTCTGAATGTCATTTGTTTCCTGCAAGGGTTTGGTCCTATTTAAATGTTGTATCAAATAGTTTTTGTTCATTGAACTGGTGTTTCATTGATTGTGCTGCCGCCAGAAACCAAACCAGTGGGCTGTAGCTGAGACCTCTGAACCTGGCTGTTGTGTTGTCATCCTTGTTTTACTCTCAAGAGCAGCGGCATTGCCAGGTTACTGGCTCTGGGAGGTCTTGGGCACCGGGGGCACTTCTCAAGGGCAGTCACTAGAGAGAAAATTCTCTCAAATTGGCCTTATCCTGACCTCCAGCCTTTGTCACCTCCATCTTGGTAATGTGGTTTTTTTGGCTTTCCTCCCATATGGAAAATGCCAGGGAAGCCCTCCCTCACACAGTCTAATCTCATCTGCCCTTTATCGGGGCAAAAGGATCCCCCCCTTTCCTGTTACCAGGATTAATACTGAATTTCCCCTCCCTGTGTATTTCCTGCTAACTGCAGTGAAACCATCTCAGGAGGCGGTTGGTAGAATATGGGGAGTTAAGTGTTCAAGCTCACATGACAGTTTCAAATCAGAAAATATCCTTTACTTCTGTTTAGTAGTAGAAGGGAAAGAAAAGAAATAAAGGCCAGAAGCTTGGGGGAATGACCGCCTTAAAGGAAAGGATCTGGACATGTTAAGTTAAGCATGGCCTAAGGCTCTACAAGAACGTGGTTCTTAGGCCATGTGTGCGGCAAGAATTGTGTCTGTGACCATGTCTCATGACTCACTGTGTGTGACAACAAGACTGAGGGTGGGAGGACAGAGCTGAGGGCAGAGGCACACAGGGGTCTGTGTCAGTAATAGTCTTTTCAGTTAAAACCAAGGTGCAATTTGTACTGGCTATTTGAATGGAATTATTATTTGGGTTCTGGGATTTTACAGAGAAAATTATAGCTTCCAATGCAGTGTGGGGTTCTCATGTATAAGGTTATTGGTTTTCTAATGAGCCCTCAGGGCTTCCTGCCCATGGAAGGCAGAGTAGGTCCTTGGCCCCCTGCAGTCATCATCTCATTTAATACTTGTAACAGTGCTGTTATGTTACCACCATTTTACAGAAAAGGAAACCAAGCTCTGAGAGAAAAGAGGGTGCACCCAGCCAGCAGTGGCAGGGTAGGGACAGGAAGCCAGCACTCAGACATGGAAGGCCCTCGCTTATCTTCTCAAAGCCTGGGAAGGCACAGGAAGGCACCGTGATGTTGCCATGTAGGAACATTAGTGTGAAGCCTGACGTGTCAGGCATCAGCCAGAGCAGCTGGGGTGGGGTTCGGGGGTTCCTTCTCCACCAGGGCCTCTTGTCTCCATCTTGCCTTTCCCTCTATTTTAGCCATGTGGGTAATTAAGTAGTTTGTCAGCTCCTGCACTAGACCTGTTGCTCCGGGTAGGCAGTGACGAGTCAGTGAAAAGAACGCGCAGGAGGGAGCCCGGCAGCCAGCAGCCTCATTATCCCTCTAACTTTGAGCACCTTTCTGAATCTCATTTTCCACTCGGGCAAGGTGATGAGCAGGCCTATAAGGAAGGGTTGTTTTAAGGAGTGAACCATGAGGCATGTGGCTGGGACACAGAGGCTGCTCAGTAAATGCTCTCCATGGTCTCTTTGAGAGTAACGCTCGCATCTTGCTACCCTGCCGCTCTTGCTCTTGCACGTACATAGTGAGTCCTCAGGAAAATATATTGGTTCAATGAATGCAGTACCAACAAAAGGAATTTTTCACCCGTGTCAGTTTGGGGGACATTACAAGCAGCATAAGTCCTGAGTGACGAGGATTTCTTTTCCAGGTTCCGGCAGTCGTGGACGGAGAAGAGAGGGTCCAGTCGCGGGTGCGGCGTGGATGCCGGAGCCGGCGCGGGTGAGGTCGGAATCTGCGAGCGCGCTGCCAGGCCTCGGGAAGCCGCAGCGCCGGCAGAGGGCGTACCTGGCCCGCGGAGCGCCAGGCGCTGGGTTTGGGGCGCTCGCCCGGTGCAGGTACAACTGCAGTCCCGCGTTGACCGCAGCCAGCCGCGCGCCGGCTACCTGCGCGGAGCGTGAAGTGAGCGCCCTCGGGACGCAGCGGAGCGCACAGGCCAGGCACGCCGCGGCGCCGAGCCTTCGCGAGCAGTGAGTACAGGCGCTGGGGGCTTGTCGGGGGGCATCTGGAGGCAGCGCAGTCGGACGGGGACCGTTTTCATGGTTGTTGTGAGCGGGGGAGTGGGCATGGTCCCTGCTTGCCTTGCTCTTTGGGGAAGGATTGGGGTCAACACTAAGAGGCGCTGGATGTCGGGCGGAGCTTGCTTCCAGGCTGTTGATGCTTACTTGAGGTTCTAACATCGGGATTTGTCTCGAGGACCCTGTCTCGTGCTGTCCCGGGCCATGGGGGTAGGAGAGGGTTGGCGGGGTAACTCACGGCGGGAGAGAGCCCAGCTGGGCGTCCACAGCCAGTTTCGCCCACAGTACCATTCAGGGGAACCACGTGCGGAGTCGCCCGCAACTCTGCCTGTCAAGTGAAGCCCGTCCCCCAGGGCTGGGGAGGGGACGCGGGGGCGGGGTGGGCTGTGCCCTGCAGGAACCGGGCTGCCCAGTGCGCCCGCCGGGCCGGCTGAGCTCCCTCTGCCTCGCGTTCCCATGGGCTCCTGGGTGGTAGCGGGTAGTGCCGCGAAGAGACCCAGGGCCCTGCCCCGAGGGGCTCCTGGGCCCTCGGCTCAGAGCGAAAGGAAGCAAAGCCAAGTAGCTTCCCAAGTGCCTGCCTAGTCCAGGAGGTGCCCTTTCACGAGGAGGCGCCGAGTGCCCGGGAGCCCTTTTCTTGGGTCTCAGTCGGCTTTGTACAATCTCTAGCCGTTAGAGAGACAGTAGGGCAGCACTGGCTTTTTGGGGCTCTGCCTCAGGACCCTTTTCCAAACACCCCTGGGCGAGTTGACGCATTGAGCCAAACCTGGGCTGCGCACGATGGGCAGGACTCAGACGCGCCTCCGGGACGCTGTGGAGCCCCGGCGCCTCGCGAAGCCCGCTATCTGAGCTCTAGGGGCTTTGAGAAAGACAACCCCAAGGCAAGGTAGGTGGCTCTGCCAGAGTTGGGTTGGGTTTGACTTGAGTAAAGATGCGATCTGCTTAAGTCTCGGCGAACGACCTTTGCTTTCTCTTTGCTTTTCAAGGCGTTTGGAGAGCTGCTGTAGAACCAGGGGCTTGGAAGAGGAAGGCATGTATTTTCAGCTGTACCAGAAGGGGAAAATTCTGTCACCACCAGTAAGGCAAGAACCCCGAAATGTGACTACAGTGGACTAGCTCTGCAGTGGCCTGGGAATCTCTGTATTGATAGTTCAGAATATGCTAAAAAGCCCACCCTTTGCATGGGAAATTGAAGGGCCAGCTGGTCTCCATGACAGGGACCTGGAGCAAGGGAATCAGAAGACAGCTGTAGAAAGCAAGAGGTGGCCTTCCGAGGGGCTGACTTGGATTGCCCTTGGCTCCTGCCTTGTGAGTGTCGCAGCTCTCTGATGGAATGCTGGTGAGGTCCTCCACCCAGAGGAGCTAGTGGGGCTGAGCAAGGGGCTGCCTGGTGAGTGAGGACTTCTGCAGGTCTGACGGACTCCAGTCCCTGCTTAGGTACTCGAGGGGTGTCAGAGCCCCCTATGCGCTCTCTGTCAGGAAGATGAGGACTCTCAACACCTCTACCATGGAAGGGGCTGGGCTGGTGGTGGAGAGGGACTTCTCCTTCCGCATCCTCACAGCCTGTTTCCTGTCACTGCTCATCCTGTCCACACTCCTGGGTAATACGCTGGTCTGTGCCGCCGTCATCAGGTTCCGACACCTGCGGTCCAAGGTGACCAACTTCTTTGTCATCTCCTTGGCGGTTTCAGATCTCTTGGTGGCTGTGTTGGTCATGCCCTGGAAAGCAGTGGCTGAGATTGCTGGCTTCTGGCCCTTTGGGTCCTTCTGTAACATCTGGGTGGCCTTTGACATCATGTGCTCCACTGCATCCATCCTCAACCTCTGTGTAATCAGCGTGGACAGGTATTGGGCCATCTCCAGCCCCTTCCGATATGAGAGGAAGATGACCCCGAAGGCAGCCTTCATTTTGATCAGCGTGGCGTGGACCTTGTCTGTACTCATCTCCTTCATCCCAGTGCAGCTCAGCTGGCACAAGGCGAAACCCACAAGCCCCTCTGATGGGAATGCCACTTCCCTGGGCGAGACTACAGACAACTGTGATTCCAGCCTGAGCAGGACATATGCCATTTCATCCTCCCTAATCAGCTTTTACATCCCTGTGGCCATTATGATTGTCACTTATACCCGAATCTACAGGATCGCCCAGAAACAAATACGGCGTATCTCAGCCTTGGAGAGGGCGGCAGTACATGCAAAGAATTGCCAGACCACTACAGGTAATGGAAAACCCTTGGAATGTTCTCAGCCAGAAAGCTCCTTTAAGATGTCCTTCAAAAGAGAGACTAAAGTTCTGAAGACTCTGTCCGTGATCATGGGGGTGTTTGTGTGCTGCTGGCTCCCTTTCTTTATCTTGAACTGCATGGTGCCCTTCTGTGGGTCTGGGGAGACCAAGCCCTTCTGCATTGATTCCATCACCTTTGATGTGTTTGTGTGGTTTGGGTGGGCCAATTCCTCCTTGAATCCCATCATTTATGCCTTTAATGCTGATTTTCGGAAGGCATTTTCAACCCTCTTAGGATGCTACAGACTTTGTCCTACGACAAATAATGCCATAGAGACGGTTAGCATCAATAACAATGGGGCTGTGGTGTTTTCCAGCCATCATGAGCCTCGAGGCTCCATCTCCAAGGACTGCAATCTGGTTTATCTGATCCCACATGCTGTGAGCTCCTCCGAGGACCTGAAAAAGGAGGAGGCAGGTGGAATAGCCAGACCCTTGGAGAAGCTGTCCCCGGCCCTATCCGTCATATTGGACTATGACACAGATGTCTCTCTAGAGAAGATCCAGCCCATCACACAAAATGGACAGCACCCAACCTGAATTCTGAGATGCATCCTGCCAGACATGCTCTTTCCAAAAGCTAGAGGAGATTTACTTGGGGCTTGCTGTTTGAGAAACTAAGGTGTGGTAAGACTCTGAGATGTTAGTTGAGCCCTCCTCTGCTGCTTTCCTTCAACATACATCTAACTCTATTTTAAAATACATTCCAGTGTGTTTTCTGTGTTGTTCATAGTGAATCAAAGAACGTGAAGCTAATGTTCATAAGGGAGATGTCTTTGGCTCCAAAATTATTTTTAGAAACTGATTCTTATCTTAGGACTTAAAAAAATAGGTCAAAGAATCAACAAGGAACAGCTTCACTTAAAAATTAAACCTTTCCAGGAAGGAAATGAGAAGGGTTGAGTTTGCTGTGTACAAACAGGTGCTAACATTGGTTCAAGCAAAGTTTTCAGATTGTAAAGGTAGGTGCATGCCTTTATAATTATTTTTAAAAATTTATTGAGCCTTACAGCAGGAATGGGATTTTTTTTTCAGAACTGAAAGATGCTTTGTTGATATTGGTTTTATTTATTTATTGTATTATAACGATATTTTTAATTTATTAAGATAAATCTATTGTTTATCATACTTAATAGGATAAACTAATGAGTTATATGAGACCTTGCAATCACATTTTTTTCCATATAACTAGCATTTTACAAGCCAATGAAACAAGCACCAAACTCTCTGAGATTCTAAACACACATCTGTAAGTTCCAGAAATGTAGCAAAGACTGATAGGAAATGAATCGATCCCTTAAAATTAATTGGCATTAATAAATACAAGGTGAGAATTGACAATGCTGTGAATGGTTTTTTTTCTAAAAAGATTTTTAAAAACTTGAAAAAGCATAGCTACTATTGTGTTCAGAAATTTTTAAATGGCACTTTTCCAGAAGAATGATTCTCATTTCTGTAAATACCTTAAGTAAAAGCCAGCTTAAGAAGAACCCAATTTGAAATTTATGATCTTAGGTGGTAATAAAAAGTATGTGCCACTTTGTATTTATGTAAAATAATTGGCCTTCTCCATCTTTTCTCATTTTAAGTGTCAGATAGCTTTCTGAACCAAACAAATGGCTGTCCTGGTTAGGTGTGTGTTGTGAAGACAGTGGGTTTCCTTAGCCCTGGTGTCACAGCAGTCTCACCAACAGACATAGGTCAAGTCCTGCATCTCCATCTTACCAGGTCAAACCACCCTACTCAGTGGGGCTACTTTTTGTAGTGCTTTAATCTAAACTTAGAATAGATTTTTTAAAAAAAGTCTACATGTTAGTGGTAGACTAACTATGAATAGTGCCTCCTTATCATCCCCGAGTAAGACATTTCTGTTGGTGGAAAAAACAGGAGACCCTTTCTCTTTGGGTGTTTTAAGCACCCACAGTTATCAGTTGCTGCTTTTGACAAATGCTAGTCCTTTCTCTGTGCTTTGGCATCAAGTTCCTGTGTCATCACCTGGACTGTAAAAAGTATCTAAAGTCTCCCTTGCCAGATATTAATTCATATGGGACATTTGAAGAGAATTTATTTGAAATGTTTACAAAGTGCTTTTGTTGATAAGCAATTTACTTAACATTAGATGAAATGAGTAACAAGAAAGAAATTGAATGGAAAATATCTCCTGCATCAGGCCTGTTATTTATGCATTGTGAATGTTTTCTTAATTTTATTGCCTGTATGCTTTCTTACATATAATAAAATTATTTTGTGAACTCAAATCAATCCTGAATGAGCTCTGTTGCATTTGTTAAATGTGTTTTAAAAACCAGGATACGTCAGACCTACAAGTTAGCAAATATGGGCATGTTCAATGATATGTTACTTCTTTTTCTTTTTAATGGAATTTTCGCCTGTTATGTATGCCATGTGTTGCCTTTGAATATTTAAACAGGAAATGTTTTTGATTTGGGCTATATACTTTTGTTTTTCCTCTTTCCTAATAACATTTTTTTAAAAAGAAACCCTTTTTCATGCGAAGAATTCCTCTGCTTTTTGTTTTATGGATCTCAAAGCTTTCTAAAATCTCTGCTTTTCCTTTTGAAGAGCCCAGAGATTTTAAATAATACAAAAATTCCAGAAAAGACTGTGCTTGCATAAGTTACTGTGGCTCAGCTTATGGCAACAATTGTATGTGTGGTGTTTGCTTTAAAAGGAAAATATAACAAGAAGTGTTTTCTGGAAAAAAATATACGGGTTGTCATACTGGGCTTATCATAATGTCTTAATGGGCACATCCATTGATCCCTGCTAAACCTGCTAAGTTACTGTGCTAACCTTTTATTTTCTTTTCATCCTGAAGAAGGAGAATGACTGAACAGCAGGTGAGGTAGAAGTTAAGGGCGAAGTTTAGAATTTGGAACATCACACAACAGATGATGTCTTTTTAAATTCCATATTTGCCTTCCCCAGGCTTTGGCATATAATGAACATATCTAGAGTGAACACCCAAAGAGCATGATGCCTTTTCTTTCTGCTTCCTAACTTTCTGGATATCTCTATTCCTTGCCATTTTATTTTATTTTATAATTAGTCATCCAGCAACACCAGCTATGGTGCTCAGGTTGTCATTGTTCAACCAATGAAATGTGACACAAAAGCCTTTGCCATTTATTACATTGGCAGAGTGAAAATAAATGGTATGTCTGGAAGTCATATTAAATAATTGTAAAATTCAGCACACCATGCATGAGACTGTACTTTGGGTTCCTGGTATGTTGGATTGATAAAGGTATCTTATGAAATGTTGATTTTACTGGCAGAATCCTTCGGAGAATTTAACATGCAGCCCTTAAAGCAAAATTACAGCATGGCTTTCATGTCATTTTTAACGATCATGGCTGAGCCTTCACAATGCTCAATATATGTGACACACTTTAGCAAGATAGAGACAATTAAAAAAATTTTTTTTCCTTTTCCACCTAAGAAATGCAGAGCTCTTACTGGTCAAATAGATGCAGAGTTCTTACTGGTGCTGGAACAACAGGAAGTCCCATGGACGGGGGATATGAACACTGGGCTACAGTTGGCAAATTGAGGGTTTATGCAGGAATAGCACTGTCTTCTCTAGGGATATAAGCAAGTCGCAGTTTCTGAGTATTAGTTGTCCTGACCCTTTAAATGGGAGGATCAAAAACTCTACATTAACCTTTCAGTAGAGGGGTCTCTCCAAAAAGTAAATGGATATGTAGTCCAACTTCAGGAACTTTCTGAATTCTCCATTCTCTGGGTGCTCCATCGTGACTTTTCTGCTAACCTGTACTGGCAGCATTACAGCTTAACCCCTCTACCCCCTAGGAGCCAGTCCACATGTGGGAGCCTGACATGAAGAAAGCGCAGGCTTTGTTTCCAATAAACTTGGGTTTACACAGCAGCTACCACTTGCAAGCTGTATGAGAGTAAACAAATGTCTGTGCCTCTCTGAGCCCGTTTGCCCATTTGTCAAATAGCAATAAACATGCAGTTTCTTGTGAGGGTTTAAATGAAGCTAATACCTATAAGGTACTGAACACTGAGATGCTGGATTCACTGAATCTTTGCAGGATCTCCACTTTGAAGAGATTGGTGACAATGTCTATTGCATTAGTAATAATGGAGCTGTTGTGCATTTGACTTTTCATGTGTTTGCTTGAAGCAAATGGAAGTGACTTTTAGGGAATGTGTGGTTTGAGATTTTCCTGGACACCGTTCTCTTGCTGAGGTTATCTGGTATTCCAGAAGCAAGTGGCTTTTTATATTTGATGGTTAAGACAATTGTCTTAATTTTCCACTCAATACCGATTAAATAAATCTGTCCACAATATATAAGTCTATGAAATCTATTTACTTTGCAGAATTTGTTTCAGGAATAATGAGTTGATGCCAGCAGGCTCTGGGCTATTAAAAATAGAACCTGCTGCACTGCTGGACCTGGTTACTATGGCCATTTGCATACACTAACCTAATGATCTGAGATTGTAGTACTACATAGACTAGATGCCTCTCCGTGGATTTCTTTGAGATTTCCTGCATAGAAACATAATGCAATCAACCTGTTTATTTTTACAGAGAATTGAAGGGATGGCAAGCATTACAGCACAGAGAACCCCTTGAAGATTTTGTTACCAGGCCAATTTAGTCATGTCACCTTCTGTCCTGTTAAGTAACTTCCATGTGATACGCAGAATTTTAAAAAGTAGCATTTGGACTTCAGTCTGTTACATCATTCAAGATTTGGGAGTCATAATTCAAATAGTATTAGAAGCTCAAGAATAATCTCTGGTTTAAAAGGGTTTAACCTTTTAATCACTATCAGAAAATGTATAAAACCAGTTAAATTTTCTAATGTTCATGGAATAGATTTTCTACCAGCTCTCAAAATTGGTGAATGTTTTCATCCATTGGATGAAACATAACTATTTCTTGAGTTACACCCACAGAAGTGATCCCATTTAGCAGAAATGCCAGCAAAGGGGCAGATAACAGTGTGACCTAAGAAGACTGAACTGTAGGGCAGAGTTTTATATTTCATTAAAAAATTTTTTTGAGAAGATAATTCATCTGGATAAACTACTTTATATCACTTGAAAATGAGTTTTTTCATCCTACAATAGGAAGTCAGGAGAGATGATTTCTGAAATTTTTTTGGCTTCACAATACTAGATATGAGATCCATTATGGGAAAAATATAAATCTGATAGGTTTCCCCAAGTCTCCATTCTTTTTACAATTACAAAGCTGACAGAGTGATGGTTATAAAATGCAAATGTGATCGTGTTATGCCCTTGCTTAATATTCCTCAATGGCTCCCAGTTAATTTCAGGAAAAAAAAATCAAGCTCATACAAGACCCTTCATGATCAGGTCCCTTGTGGCCTTTGCAGCCTCATCTATTGCCATTACCCTACTGGCATGGTGTCCTACAAGCAATTCTGAACTTCATACAGTTTGGGGCGTGTACAAAGTCCTTCTAATCTTTGTGCCTTTGCACATACTGTTCCCTCTGCCTGGAGCACCCTTCTCTGTTTCCTTTGTTTTCCTGCTTCTACCCATCTTTAAGATTCAGTGGGGCATAATTGCAAAAGCCTTTTTGGCATTCTTCCTGCCTCTACTCCGCTTACTGCTTTCTGAGGGCTTACCATGCTCTAATGAAATAATCTCCTTACTTCCTTCTTTCTCCCTAGATTGTGAGCATACTGAGAGCAAAAGCTGTCTTATTTTGTTTCCCTTTATCTATTCCTAAGCATAAAACACGCTGCCTGACTTATAGGAGCTGCTCATTAAATGTTTGTTGAATGAATGAGGGAAGGAACAAGTCAGAACAGAGGATGTTGGAACTACCCTTTCAGTGAAGTTTATTTCTGGGGGGTTTGTTCTGTTTCTATAGGTCTGCTAGGCTCTCTCTAACATCTTTGGATATAATCTCTATGTGGTCTCTTAGGCCTGCAGTTCCCTGGGGTCTGAAATGGTTGTATAGAGGCAGTAACACACACACACACACACACATACGCATGCACACACACACGCATGCACACACAGAGGTGTGTTTATTATATAAGCAATCAGTATTTGCAATCACTATCCTTTCGTGAGCACTTTCTGTGATTCAGGCCATGTTCTGCATGCTAGAGGTAAATCAGACACTATCCCAGTCTTTGAGGAGCTTGAAGTAGAGACAGATATGCAAATAAAGCACCACCAAAGAATATTTTAAAAGTAGACTGTATGGAGAAAGAAAATGTTTTTTTCCAGGTGATGCCAGTAGCTCCATTCTATTATGTCCTGTCTACACGGCATCATGCCAAGCACTGGCCATTCATTATTTCTTTCATTTCTCACATGCATTCCATGAGGTGGGCACTGTATCATCATTCCCATTTTATGGACAAAAATATTTAATATTCAGGGAGGGAATGCAGTGTGTCCACAGTCACACAGCTAGTAAATGATGGGGCAGGTTTAAATCTAAGGTTCTAGAACTTCAAAAGTTATTCTTTTGATTATGAGCCAGTTCTATTTATCAGAAATTAGTCCTTACCAAATGAGTAACTTGTTAAGAGGTGTTTTTCTAAAACACCTCAAATATTGGATTAAAAAATACTTTTTATTATTGACATTTCAATCATATACAAAAGGCAGAGAGAATTGTATAATGAACCCCTGTGTACCTATCCCATTACCCAGATTCAAAGTTTAGCAAGACTAAGTTTGATGGTCTCTGAACAAGGACAAGAGGGGTCATGTGTTTCTGGGTAGAGCACAAGTCTGAAGCTAGGAAGATACTTGTTTTCCCAGAACAAAACCCTGTGGGATTCAAAGATAACAGAATAGGGAGATAGCTTCTTCAAGGGTTGAAATACCCCATCAGGGGTCAATTTGATGAGGGCACACTCAGTTCCGTTCGGCAAGCATTGATCTACACCTGTCTGGTGCTCATCGCAGCTTGGGCAGCAGAGAAAGGAGGCGCTGAGAGGACAGGGTGGGATGGGGGAAGATATTTAGCAACGGGGACAGTGCTGCTGGAGAGTGGCGGGGTCCAGGTGCAGGGTTGGGAAGGAAGTGGCTCTGGAGGTGAGCTTGAGGGATGGACAAAACTTTGAAGCTGTAACCGACTGAGAGTGAGAACAACTGAGGGTAGAACTCTAGTACGTGCAAATGTAGGGCTAGGAAATGGGTGCTGGGTCAATTTTCTGGGTACAGGACATGGAGTAGAAATGAATTTAAGCTCTC